TTTTTTGCCATTTTTCAAGTGGTCTTAAACTTTTGATCGGGACTGTATTTATAAAATTGAAGTTTATATTGTGGGGACCTGAAAAATATTCCCACAACCTAAAAAGTAATATGTTTTAAATACAATCCCCCCCCCAACACACATACACGCACACATGTATGTTCTCATGTATAAATGATCATCCACACAACAGACTTGGCATAGATATGCAACAAGCACATGTCACAATATAACACAATATACCTATGTGACTGACCCATATTTTCATATCTTCATCAGTTATATGACACCTGCAGTCTAAACACATGCACAAGACTGTGTAGGTCACCTGGACAGAGTCACTTCTACATGTAGCCTGCACATTTAACCATCGGGGTAGTTTGACTGCAAAATTAATGAGGGAAGAAGAAAAAAAAAAGTCTTGATACCCAGAAAGCAGTGAATAGAGCCATGTGTAATTAGCAGCCCTCACGGCCCCTGTTCGATTATCAGACCCCTTGGTGTGGTGACATTTTCAGGATGCATCGTCTCAAACGGGAGCCATTACAGAGAGGCCTGGGCTGTGACGGAGCTGGTGGAACGCGTGCCTCCCCAACACCACACATCACACATTTCATTACACAAAGGGCGGGAGAGGAAATGGGCAGGGGTGTAAATGCCGGCTTAATGCGCTCCCCCGCCCCCCCCCCCGCATCATCCTTTCCTTTTGATCAATAGGACCTTGTGCTAATTTGGCCCACTGGTGCCGCGTGCAGCGCTTTAACGACTCTCAGGGTGACTGGCGCCCTATCCCAGCCCGCTAGTGCCGGGGCCGGCCCCAGGCTGGGGGGGACGTACCAAGCAGGCGACCAGCACGGAATCGCTGCTGTTCCTTTCAGCTGGCGAGCGGCACAGTTCGATGAGATGAGGGATGGCTTGAAATAAAAAATAAATAAATAAATAAAAAAGAGGAAAGAAAACTGTTATTCCATTAGTTACTAATACTGTAAATATAAGCATCGGTTTATAATGTTTACCTAGTAAAACCAAATTCAAACAGATGATTTGAGGAAATACTGAAATGATCAGTTTCACGAGTGAAAGACGAGTATCGTTAGACTAGGATTAATAAATTGTATACTTTAACTACACTGCTTCCTTTATCAAGTATTCAATTCAACTCAAAAAACTTTATTTGTCCCTGAGAACATAAGAACATAAGAAATTTACAAACGAGAGGAGGCCATTCGGGGCAATTAAGGCACACAGGGCAGTTGAACAAGGACACAGTAACGTAAAGTATGCTATATTTTTATATTTTACCTGTAAGTTATAAAATGTAGTAGTATATTGAAGTCAAAACTTAATAAATATTGGTGAAGCACCTGTGAATTCTGAAAAGCACTTTGGTGTTGGTCACTCAGTTGCATGGATGATTGAAAACACCGACTACAAGGTTAGCCAAACTCAAGGTTACGAGCAGCCCTGGATAGAGGCACGTGTGCAGAGGCGTACCCTGCAGCTGGATGGCCGTCTGTGCCACCTCAGGGTCCCGGCTCAGACGGGCCAGCGTGACGGCCGCCTTCTGCTGCACCCTCTCACAGGCAGCGCCCTCTGATGGACTGGAGGAGGATGGCTTTTCAGCCAGCAGCAGCAGCAGTCGCTCAATACCTGATATGAACGTGACAGGACACACAGAGTGGGTATGCATGTGTGTGAATGTGCACACAACACCCCCCCCCCCCCCCCCCCCCCACACACACACACACACACACACACACCATGAAACACCCCCCCACCATCCCTGCTCACTAATGTTTTCACTACAAATAAAATGTTCCTGCGAAATCTGAGCTCCACTCACACAGGACAAACGCAAAATGATATGTGTAATATAAATAATGCACACCGCAGTTCTTGCAAGCATCAGTTTCATTTTCACAAAAAAAAATAATAAAAAATAATTTGTATTGGAAAGGGTTGACCATTTTTTCTGGATTTTGTGGCTCTTTGCCTCCATCTGCAGATGCTTTTTAGAACTGCACATTTTTAAAAAAATACGCCCTAATCCATTATGAGAAGTGCGCTCAAACCATAGGCAATTTATGTGCCATAAATGATGAAAACATTCCCTAAAAATACACAGTAATGATTTTTATATTGTATATCATTAATGCGGATTTAGATATTAAGTCTGATATACATTCTTTAATGGTCCTGGTTCCGAGATCTGCTCCCTTAATCAGCATGTCCTCCAGGAAATGAACCATACAGCCTAAAAAGCACGCAGATAGCAAATTGCTGCACGTACCATTTTCCTGAAGAACTTCAGAGGCTGACTGCTCCAGAACAGAGAGGTTTGCCAGTATTGTCGCAACCTGAAAGGAGGCAAACCAAACAACTGTAGAAAACATAACAGATGAAAGCGCAAATGAAAGTGGCCTTTGGCTACATTTGCACATTTTACATTGTTTCATTTATCTAATGCTTTTATCCAAAGCAACTTACAGTAGAGGGAAGGGCTACAATTATTTTTTTGTATGATGTATGCTCCCTGCATTGTGTAAGACTCTACTTGTTGAGCTACAGTTATGCATGATACGTCACATATGTTATTTCATGATTACAGATTGGTGTAATTGGACACTACAGTTAAAACTTAACAACCAGCTGCACGCAAGCTGAAATAAGCACTGAGCAGGAATCAGATCATTTAAAAGAAACGTTGACCTATATTTGTTTTAGCAATGCAGCAAATTGTCAGTGCCGTCCAAAGGTACGCAGCAGGGGTCTGCGTTGGGTTAACTGTGCTGTTTAGCCATTTAGCCTCGAAGCACAAAAATGGAATGAGTTAGAGGCACAGCTTAGCTTTGACCAGCCACACTGGTTACCATGGAAATACTGGAACTCACTGGAGAACTTTAAGTATTAAATGATGAAATTACACTTCAGCTCCCAGCATCTTTGTGCAACATGAAAAACATACATCCATCACATAAATTGTAGGAATGCTTTTCATTCCTACAAATATTTCACATTTTACTGAGATGGGTAATGAGACATCAACAGACCGAACGCTGCACACAAGAAAAACATGCAGTGTAGGGTCTGAGTCCTGTAGCTAATGAACAGGGCAAAATACCACCAGCACTTCAGGTACATGCAAGTCAAATGTCATTTCAACAGCTGTGAAATAGACACAATGACAGTAACCAGGTTTGTGGTTAAATTATCCGCAAAGGGCCAGTGTGTATTCAGGTTTTTGGGATAACCTTTAGGTCAGCTGTTCAAACCCAGGTGCGAGGACTCTTCAGCCAATCAGTCCTCTAATTAGTAATTTAATTAAGGAGTTTTAGCGAAAACCCCCATACCAAGCAGGGTATGAAGAGGGGATTCATACTCAACACAGGTACCTATATTCTTTCATTTCTTAAAATTTGCTTGTCACGTCACTATTATCGGTAACACAGATGTTAGCCAAACAAGCTTGCTAGATAATGAATGCGCAAAGTTCACCCATAGTCAGTCGGCTACTTCTTTTTATTTCTTGTGAAAATAATGAATGATTAAATAGTTATTTATGTGCCCTGCAGAAGCACCAGAGATGTGCCCTCTGCCCCGCACGATGCCGTCACAGAGGACAGCAGGAAGGCGTACCTGTAACCTGAAAGGTGCCTGACGTCACGTCAGTCATTTAATGTTGGTGAATGTCAGTTGTAAAAATACTGCAATTGTGCTACCTTTAAGTGTTGCAATGTACTTGTATATGGTATATAGTTCCAGAGATAACTGTGTTTGTCAATTTATTCTTAGATTCCTACATCTTTGTTTAGTTATATGGTGTGAAAGTTATTTTAAATTGTGCATTTCCTACAAAGCACCTCTTTTTAAAGATTCATATACGCATTTCATATACGTTTAAATTGTTGTTACTTGGGTAATCTTGAATTAAACAAAATCTGTGTTTCTTTACACCCATTGTTTGTGCATATATTTTGGGGGGGGGGGGCAACAGCGGTGAAGCTTGCCTGGGGCGTTATGTGGATTTTGACCGGCACTGAGTGCAGGACCTCATAATGTGCAGTTTGTCAATAGATCAGAGTCTACCTACTATCTGTATGACTTGTGATTACCCATATGCATATACACAGTGATGATGTCATCACCTGTATGCATGAGTGATGGCAGCAGTGATATCATCAGATGGAGAACAGGCGGCACCATCCATCAGAGCACAAAGCTGGGGGTGTTTCATGTAGGACAGGGATGGCCAAGTGTGTATGTGGGTTTGCGCTGCAACTCCCTAATTAGATTACTAATTACTGAAGAGTCCTCACACCTGGGTTTGAACAGCTGACCTAAAGGTTACCCCAAAACCTGCATAAACACCGGCCCTTTGCGGATAAGATTGGCCACCTCTGATGTAGGACTTTGCCGGGGGGGGGGGGTACCTGGTCTTTGGAGTAAGGCGTGTCGACACGGTGGCGATCTCTGCACGCCCCAAACAGGATGTGGATGGCACCGAGCTGCAAGAGGATCTCGCAGGCCATGGTATCGAAGAAGGTGATGTTGGCCAGAGCGGCGGAGGCCAGCAGGAAGGACTCCCCGGAAGAGGCGTCGCGACACAGCTCTGCGGAGGGAAGCGGCAGTTAACAGGCCGCATGGCCCGACGTGGCCCAGAGAGCCTCATCCATTCAAAGACACCACAGCCAGATGTTGTTTATTAAATCCAGAATATACATTTTGCACTAGAACACCTTCAGAAGGCAAAAATCTGGGGCAGTGGGTTGTGCCTGTGATCAGAAGGTCGCCGGTTCTAATCCCAGGGTCAGCAGAATAATTCCGTAATTGGGCCCTTGAGCAGGGCCCTTAACCCCTCCCTTGCTCCAGGGACTGGCTAATATTTCTCAATTGTACATCACTTTGGATAAAAGCTGATAAATTAGTAAATTTATCAGCTACCTCAATGATTAATTTAAATAGGATTTATAATAAGTGCGCTGTGATGCTTGATGATTTATCTATAACCATATTATAGGCTACACAGTGACAGGTAATGTGAAAGTTACAGATGGTTTCCGCACATATATCTTTAGGATATCTGTGAGCAGCATCCCTCATTTTCAGCTTGATCTTACACCGACCAAAAGTGTATGTAAGGCCCAGTTATCCCAGGTAAACACCCTGTATAAAAACCCCTGTTAGCAGGTTGGGACTCACTGATGAGGGCGGTGACGATGTCCTGCATGTTCTCCAGAAAGCTGCCCAGGTGCTGGGTGAAGGTATGGTGGGGGGAAGTGATCTGGGCCACCACAGCGGCTGCCTCTGCCCGGGCCGCCTCCGCGTTACTCTCATCTGTCAGAATATCCGCCAGACACAGGATCCCATCCACCTGCAGGGGGCGCCACACGCAAGTAAAAAGGTGAGGGGTGGCCCACCTCAGACCCAGGTGAACCTACAAGAGGTAATTGCCCCACCGACCTGGGGCAATCCTGATAAATCCCACACCTCGGCTGATTCCTCTAGATGGCGCTTTTTCCAGATTGTTCTGTTGCACAGATAAGCCACCACGATCGGCTGTCAAATCGAAAGCCCCTGTCATGTTAATCAATTTCACTTTCATTAGGATCAGAGTCACTCCCATTCATATGCCCTGACAGCGCCCCCCATTCCCCCACTTCAGTATTACGTCGTTCCCCTTAATTGTTTTCTAACATGTTGACGTCAGACGGCTCTGTAATCTAATAAAAGCCCTTTCACTGCGGCACAGAAACTGCTGGCCCAAGCATTTTTTTTTTATATAAGTAGGGACTTGGATAGGGGCCCTGGGATGAGACCCAGCGTTTTTTTAACTTCTGCCTGATCATCATTTAAGATGTCAGAGGTGCCGGGAGCAAGTCCGGCTGCGGCCAGGCACAGTGATTCACTGAAGGTGTCAAACCCACCACCCCCCCCCACCCCCATTCCAGGAGCCCCCAGGTCCAGGTCGAGCTGCTACACCTATGAAAACCAGCATAGCTCTGATGAAAATACACATCTGGTACAATGCAGCAAAGGTTAAAAACAGGTAGTGGTGTTACAGGACGCCGTTTACCCAACACTAAATATAACAAGAAATGATTATGGCTCTAGGAACAATTTTATTAGCAATTTTTATGGACATGTCCCAGTGTGAATTGGCATGTGTGTCATGATCTGTGTGAGCCCACTGCCCCACAGGGGAATCATTGATCCCAAGGGGTCCACATCCCGTCAACTCAAAAACAGTTTATGTTACCGCTGGCCCCTTAAAAAAGGCAGTCCCATACAATATTATGCGTCAGCTGGCCTGACTGCAATACAGAAATTAATCCAAAAGCTGTGGGACTGTGACAACTGATGAGTCTCTACAAAGAGTTTAATGATATAGAAGCAGTCTTTGCTCCTATTTTCCAACAGATGGCGCAGTTGCACAAACTTTCACTAACAATATCACCTGCAGTGTTGGGGAAGTGACTCACAAAAGGAACAAACTACAGACAGAGGTGAAAAGTTCAGTTCCAGAAAGTACAAATCCAAACCAAGGTTTTGTTTCAACCAACCAGGTGAATATAAAGAGTCACAGACACAAAGTATTCAACTGGTTGGATGAAGCTGATTCACCTACACAACTGCCCAAATATGCATTTTAACACATGGAGTTCAGATTTGTCTGCACATGTCTAGAACTAACACTTTATGTCTATTTTGTTCATCAGATGAAATAAAACAGAAATGGATTGTTTTAACTGAATGATACACATTTTTTTAAATTTTGTAATAAGTCTCATACTTCTCACCTCCATTGCTGAAGAAAATCCAGATACCACCCAGTGAAGCTCCACTCTGCTGCATTTATACCCACCTGAGTCTGTGTAGTGTACTACGACGCAGAGTAAGTGCATATGGCGTGCGAGAAGATTCCGGGTGAGCGAGTACTGTGTGCGAGAAGATTCCGGGTGAGCGAGTACTGCGTGCGAGAAGATTCCGGGTGAGCGAGTACTGCGTGCGAGAAGATTCCGGGTGAGCGAGTACTGCGTGTGATAAGATTCCGGGTGAGCGAGTACTGTGTGCGAGAAGATTCCGGGTGAGCGCGTACTGCGTGCGAGAAGATGCTGTGTGAGTGCCTACTGCGTGTAGGAAGATGGCGGGTGAGAGCATACGCCGTGTGAGAGCAGCCTATAAGAATGATACATGGTACAACATGTGAGTATGGTAAGCTAGTACAGCAATACAGCATATGACAATGGTGAGTACAGTGCGTGAGTACAGTGCGTGAGAACAGCGTGTATGTAAACTGTGAGCAGGTCTGCTCGTCTCCGCTCTGGTCCCCTGCCACCGCCCCTCCGTGACAGGTGTCTTTCTCGAGGCTCAGTGATTGCTTACGTTCAGAACACCCCTGAGACACCCCCTCCAAGTGCGTTCCTCGCCTTCATTATCCTGCCTGCTCTTCTACGCCTGACTGCGCCTCCGAATCAGGAGAGGAAACATACCATGGCTACAGCATAGCGTGTCGTCTTTAGTAGGACCCCAAAGGGCTGCAGGCTGCAAAAATCCACATTTTCCTGCATTTAACAGCATCTGAAGAAGCCGTAGATTCCTGTGTTTTCATTGTTTGCCAGTGACCAGCAAATGGCAAAGATTTAAAGTTTAAAGTTTATTGACTGAAATTTTTCATCATTTCATTGAGGGAAGATGCAGCATTATCGCTGTCATACTTAATATAACCAATTTGAAGAGACAGCCTTTGTGTTCGGAACCACAGTGCCCTGCTCCCTCTGTCGTTTTGTTGCAGGAGCACAGAAGCTCTGGCAGTATCAGATGAGCCTTCGTGGATAAGAGGCAGATAGAATCAGGGACTGGGACATCAGACTGGGTGTTGTATGGAAGAGTGCCACTGACAGGACAGGGTGACATTTCCATTGGCCCGCTGCTTCTAGAACCAGTCTATTTGACATTCTGTGAGACTCACTGCAGGCTGATGGAGCCGTGTGAAAAGACCAAGTAATGGGCAGAGAATCATGGGAGGTGCAGACTGGAAGTACTCCACCCCGCAATCTACCCGGCACGTGACACAGATGGTCCTGCTGCTGCTCTGCTGATGATCAGCTAGGGCTGACAAAGGGGAACTCAAGGTCCTCACAGAGACCAATCGCCAGGTGGCTTGAGAAATGCCAGGTGTATACTCTGGATGTTCTCTAAGTGACCTAACCCAAGGCTACACATTAAACCCGGAACGCACCAGCCATTTCACCCATTGAAAGGCGTCTGGCTGACCATGAGAGCTGGTGACTGTCTGACATGCTGGTGTGTGCGGCACGGTCAGAAACGGTTGGTCCCCATTGGTGCTGTTTTGGCCGACTGATGTTGAATCGATGTTGAGGCAAGTTGGTGAGAGCAAGTTCTCTGATTGGGCTGTATGTCAAGCATCACCTCTAGTCGCGCTGATGTGTTCCAGCACTAATTTTTGGGAGCCAATTGTTCATTGACCTTACTTGGCGCTAATTTTTTCCGTCAGCTTGGTGCGAACCCAGATTTACATACATTCACATTCCCTTTGCACCGGGACATACCTCCTTTGCTTTTTGCTAATTAGCCATGATCACAGAATCACAGCTGCGGTCAAAGCACAATCCAGCCAGTCAGTGAAACAAACCCAAAAACCCTCCTCTGTCGGTCAACACCCTCTTGAGCGCAGCCCCAGTAGACATGTGCCTTGTTTCCACCAACACGGAGCCGGTACGGGGCTGGTTCTCATCGGGCTTTTGAGAACCTGGCTGTGTTTCCACCGGTTTCAAACAAGAACAGAACAAATTGTTACATATGCGAAAGTGAGAGTAAAGGTTAATATGTATTCTGTTTTTTGGATTTATTTTGATCTATTTAAGTTTTTATAAGCTGGCAAATCGAAAAAATAGTTTTCAGAGTATGACTTGTTCTGCAGTGTCTCTATCGCCTCCACTTTTGTCTCCAGGTGAGGGTTCTAGTGATTTATCAATCTCAGAGGCCATAAACAACAGAGTGATCATACAGAGGGTAAGAACAGCGGCCTGTGCTACCTTCTCCAGCTGGTTGATACCCTCCTCCACACAGCAGATGGAGGCCACGGTCCTGAGGGCGTGGGCATACAGGCAGCTGAAGCAGTCCTGTCGGCAGATCTTGAAGAGGGCCACCACTGCCCCCTCCTGGGGAGAGAGCGACATAAGCATGGCAATTAGAGGTCTTACGCCCTTTTCTGGAGAAAACACGGCACTGGTCTGCAAATAATGAAAACACTATCATTTTGACGCCTCTGGGTGGTTAAAAGTTCACAGCTGTTGCTAGATCGTATCTTCAAAGCCCTGTTAACTAATACTTTGATTATCAGCATTACGGACTTGATACCATACGCTGCGCGCCGTGTTCCGAACCAGCTGCTTGAGGTATTCTCTCTGAGCTAACCTGACCTGTGTCATCTTTCTTATTATGACATTTTGCCACTGAACATGGAACAAACAGTCTCCGAAACAGTAAAGGGAAGAAGGAATCAGCTGCGATTTATGTCTCCCCTGCGAGCCAGTACCCATGAGTTGCTTGCTGCCAGGACGGAGGGCAACATTGCTCCTCCTTTTGTTTTTAGCCCCTCCCACATGCCACCAGCTTATTGGATGAGAGATGAGAGGATGTGGTACTTGGAACCAAATCAGAGGATAGCATGCCACCCAATGCCTCCGTGCAGATACAAGGCCATTACTGAATGAAACTGGGCTTATAATTTATTTATACAATTAAAAAAGAATATAAAGACTAAATTATTGTGTTTAAAAATATAACACACACCACAACTGCTTATTAAATATTTGGCTATTCATAAAATCATCTTTATGAATATTTAATTTCACATCCTGAAAGGCTGAAAATAGTCTACCTTTCTCATAGGAATCCGCAGTCATTTGCTATGCGAATAAGGGGGCGGGGGAGGGGGAAATTACAAAAAACAACATCCTAATTTTCACACTGTTCAGCGGCCTAAAATATGCAGCAGGAGGGAAGCTGTCACCCAGAAAGATGGCAGCTCACCAAACGCCCTGCGTGAAGTGCTGGATTACCCACAACAAGCGCTGCCTTCCCGCATCATCTTAATAAGCGGCCTCATTCCGCGGGCGGCACACAGGAGTCGATCCCACAGGCCACTGCCATGGGGCAGCTAATGGCACTCATCCGCGGCAGACTGATCTCCGTCATCTTCTGCTCCGTGCCGCTCCGAGGCTCCCTTTCAAACCCCCCCGTCAGCCGTGTACTTTGGCCGACGCCCCCTCTTAATCAGCCACACAGAAATTAAATAACCTGTCTTGGCATAGGTAGAGCACAGCAGGTCTGGTGCAAAATACACAATCCAGGCACCCAGGGGGACACCGGCCCTGGGGCATTAATGACAATATCACTTTTATAAAGACTAAATGCATTTTACCGAACGTGGTGAGGAAACAGGACGCCCGTGGCAACCTTCGCTAAGCAAAGGCTACATTATCAGTTAATTATGTTATGAATGAGGAAAGGCAGAGTCTCCGTCAGAAGGCCCTCTGGCTGGGATCTACGGCCCAGCGGGGTGTCTGTGTGGCCTCGTTCATATGCAAACGGGAGACAGACACCTCTAAAACAACAGGAACACAGCCGGCTCCAATATGTATTGTCAACTGTGGGACCATTATATAGGCAGTTCTGCACCTTTCCAGTTTACATTCAATCAGGTAAATGAACCTATGTTGGATTTAGGTTAACAAGTCGTATAAACATTTCGAAGATCAATGGAAATGGAATGCAGTCACAGCAAAGGGTCTGAATACTTATGTTAATGTGAGGTTTCAATTTATTTTCAATGTGCAAAAAATTCTAAAATTCTGATTTTACTTTGTAATCATGTGGTATTGAGTGTAGATTTATCAGGGGAAAAATTGAATTCAAACAATTTTAGCATAAACCTGCAAGTGAAAAGAGGAGTCATGCACTGCATCACACAGTTTTAATAATCAAAAGCTTCCTGTAAAATACAAAAGGCAGTTTTAAATTTTAAAGTAGAATTGTCAATAGAAACTGCCTGCCATACAAGAACATGCAGGGCAGTGGTGGCCTTGTGGTTAAGGAAGCTCACTCGTAATTGAAAGATTGCTGGTTCAAATTCCCGATCAGCAAGGCACCACTGAGGTACCCTGAGCAAGGTACCGCCCCCAAGCTCTGCTCCCCAGGTGCTGAATTAGCTGCCCCCTGCTATGTCACCATGTCACATATGGGTTAAATACCAAGGACACATTTTGTTGTTGTGCTATGGTGTGTCAACAATGATCACTGATCACTAAATTCTATGCAGGTACAAAGAGTGTTTGCAGCGCATGTGTGACTCAAATCCACTACTGACTGTAGTGACAGTCCATCGCTTCCTTCTCCAAAATATTTGCAGAACTATTAAAGTCCAAAGTTGCACGTCCATTGAGCCTGAAATCGGGCCGGCATGTGATAAGTTTTGGGGGTTAAGGTTAAGACTGTTATGTAACAGTCTAGGAATTTTGATACGCTCCATTTCACTTCCTTCTTTTGAATATTCAGGAATAATATTCAACGATTTTGAGATTCACGGTATGTCATTTCCATGTACCGAACTCCCCGCTATGGTGAGGCAAAGTGACATTTTCATTCAATGGCAACCTTATTCTGAAGCTAAGTTAAACTGAAGATGAAACTGAAAATGATACAAAAACTAAATTAAGAAATCATAATAACACTGCTTAGACAGCAGTTTAACTATCTACTTACTGCACAGATTCCTACAGAAAGCTTTCTAAATTCTGAATGTGGTGAAAGTAATGTTTGCGCAAAAATAATGAAATCCAAACAGCACAATCAGGTGGGTATGTATCACATATTCAATTCACACCAATTCACACCATACAGGGGCAGCTTCAACAGATCAGTTCAATCTTATCTTTAAAGATATCACATTTGTTTCTATATAAAAACATATAATCTAACTAATGGAAGTGTGATTTCAATTAGTACACCATATTAAGCTAACAGCCCTGAACTTTGCTTGAACCTCTCCATTCACACAAATTAATGGCTATCAAAATGCTTGTGCTCTAAAATTAAGCTGAAATCATCAATCTAAGATCTTCCACCAAACACCAAACCACTTGCCAGCATAAACATACACGGTGAAACGTGTCAGATGCACATTACCACAAGCGTATACAAAAGGGGGCACGGCCGTTAATCTGATTTACACTAAATCACGGTTGCGATTTCCGCCCCCATGTTTGACGGGCTGGCAGGCGTTCAGATTGTCTGGCGGGACCACCTGCATCATTAACAGAAGGCAAGGAAAACCAGAGACGCTTCCTTTGTGACTCCTGGCGGCTTGCTGCCTCGGCAATGACCGACCCGGAGACCCAGCCTGCATGGGGACGCATTCAAACGCCACCTGAAGACCCTAAAATAGCGCCCTCTGGGGGGCCAGAGGATAAGCGCACCCTGTAACCAACCTCCGACTTATTCCATAAAGTTCCTGGTCTACGCAGTGGAACTCCTGCCTCCAGCCCCTCATACAGCCTACTCTTATCTGCCCTGCTTTTACCCCGTCACCCCACTACCAAGCTCCCCTGGTTGCATGGGCAGGCAGCCAGGGACGATAACAGCTAGAGAGGAGATGCTTAGTCTCGATGCTGCCACTCAAGCAGAACGAAGGCGACGACTGCGTTCACAATGCCAATCTGAAAAAGCGTCTCAAAGCAGCTCTCTCTATGACAGTCTGCAGGACTTCTCCAGATGGAGACTAAAGAAAATTAGTTGCAGTTTGCTTAAGATTTTATAGAAAACATGTCAGGATAATTATCTCAAATATGGGAGGAAACAGCAGAGTCCAGCCTGGGATCTGAGCCCATTACTCTGTGGTAGCAGGTCCACAGAATGCTGCTCTCATTCTCATCGGTCAGTCTGCCCAGAACGGCTAATCATCTGCTCAGTTTTCCCCCTCAACTTATGATGATGACACATAATCTCAAGAAAAAGCAGCTGCTCAGTTTTGCTCTAACCCTGTGCCCCCATCCCCCGAAAAAGGTGGACCTGACGGGGAGAGACGATATTGATCGGGGGCCAGGCACTTGTGCACTGACTGTACACCCAAAAAGTGCGTAATGCAGGCTGTGAACACGGCCTTCTGCCAAAGACCCCCACATCTTGGCCTAGCTTGAGTTTAAACTTCTACCTGACCTCCTGGCCAGGAAACGTGTGTCATGGAGGATCTCACCACCAAGAGCAGCAGACCAGCAGAGCAGCAGAGCAGCGGTGGGTGGGGAGAATGACTCACCTTGGCAATGATGCTGCACAGCTGCGGCCCGTCCTGCGTCAGGGAGAGGAGGCTGCTGATGGCGCCCCCTATGGTGTAGACGTTGTCTGACGTCTCAATTTGACGGATCAGAATCTGTTAAGGGGTGGGAGGGGCTTCATGAGAGTTCAGCTGCATGAAGCGAAGGCGACGCAGCCAATACGACTGGCAGGTGAGAGGCTGCAGAGTTCGGAGCTGGCTGGCTGTCCAGCGACCCGGTCACAAAGCGGGCGAATGTGACAGCTTCCAAAGTTAAAAAGGTTCCAGCTTTCATATCCTGTATAATCAGGTTATTTAGGAAAATAAAGGAAATGTTACATTTTCACAGAAAGCAGAGTACATTCCATCGGCCAGGTCTAATCGAACTCAATTATCTAGACTTATGGAGCAAAGTAATAATTCTTTATCATTGTCGTTTTGCTACTGCAGCAATTTAAGAAGTAACCTTCCTCCCCTCTGGGTAACTACACATATTAATTATTTATAATGCCACAGTTTGTTTGTATAGGAATTTATTTCTTGTAAGACTGCCTTTAGGGGTAGCCATACGGCGAGGGTTAGGATGCCAGGCCTGCGGTGCAGATCTCACAGTTGGACCCCTAAGAAAGGCCCTTAAGTGCCAAATTGCCCCAGGGACTGTCTGATCCTGCTTTCTCAACTGTACCTCACTTTAGATAAAAGTAGCTGCCAAATAAATAAAATGCAGCGTGGAATGCATGTTTCAAACATATCAGGACCTTGAGAGCATGAAACCTTGAGGATGAAGGTAGTGACTGAAATTCCAAGGATTTCACCACAAATGAAATATGGAACTGTTACACGACAGCGTCCCTTTACGGGGCCTACGTGTATTATAAACGACAGAGCTCCCCACAAAGATCTTCCTACACAACGACGGAGCCCTCACATAAAATCAGAGAGGAGTCCAACTAACTGGTGGCTATGAAAGATGAAACCCTGGCTAGGGACCCCCGTTTTGGATGGAGACATGGGTGTGGTTTTTCCTGTTCGGTCCGGCTTTCACAGTTACTGTTGGCTTATTTACAACCCACTTGTCTCTCAAGTCGTCCTTGTTAGGGGGGCTGCTAGCTGCTTCTCAGGAAGCTCTTGGGAAAACACCTGCTTCCCAAATTGACGTCGTCTGAATACATTGAACCATGTATCCCCTTAAGGCTCACTTTCTAATATGTGGCTTCCTCTATAAAACTTAAAATCACAAAATCAGGAACCAGACAGACACATCACTCAGATGGCAAAAAAATAAAGCGGTAAAGGGTACAGACATTTCTCAGTTAAGAACTCATAGTGTGCACCAAGGGGGTGTGGTCCTCTCACCTGGATCTCATTGGCCAAGGCCATGTCAATCATCTGGCTGAACGAGTCGCTGATGTCAGTCAGTATTTCCTGGGTGGCTTCTTTCATTGACCTCAAGAGGAACTCATCTTCAGTGTGCACACACCTGAGGAAAGAGCAGGACTTGTTTATAACAACACCTATTAATTAGATCAGGGGTCTTCAACTCCGGTCCTGGAGAGCTACTATCCAGTAGGTTTTCTATCCTACTTGGCTTCTGATGAGCCACACCTGGCCCTGGGATTTACCTGAGAACAGGTGTGGCTCATCAGAAGCCAGGTAGGATTGAAAACTGACTAGTTGGTAGCTCTCCAGGACCGGAGTTGGAGACCCCTGAATTATATGCACTGATCCATCAGAATAACCAAAGTGGAGAGAGTTCACATAACAGGGATCAGATAACTAGCAACCTGTTTATAATAACCCATGACTTAAGGGTAAGAGTTTCACATTTCTTGAATGAATTAAAGGGCCGGTCAAGCATGACTCCCATAGGAGGGATCGGTGTTGCGTCCAGTGTAATACCTCTCGGTGATGGTGGTGAGCTCCAGGCACTTATCCAGCAGGGACTTCTCATACTGTAGACAGAGGGGGACATATGGGAGACATCAGCTGTTCCACATGAGAGATCTGTGTTCCCGGCGTGACATAGAAACCATTTCCAGGGAACAGAAACTCTACTGTGAGATACAGCTAAATGGATATGCTGATTGAGGGTCTAGGGTGAACAAAGCTGTGAACAAACTGACAAGCAGTAGAACCAAAATTTACACCTCCTAGTCAAATACACTTGATGCCGGTATTTAAATACTGTATACTTCTACTAAAATCCTCAATGCTTAAAAAGAATATGTAGTTGAACAATGAGATGCCATCAACTATATTACACCTAAATCTATATTCAGCCTGCAGTAAGAAAGATCAAACCAATTTCCATGAATCCAATCTCACATGTCTGCCTTCTGGAATTATGGGATGTCACTGACTGTGGAAGCAATCGGCATGGACATTTAATCTGCAATTACAAGAGCTCAGTCTCCATTAAGTTTACAGATGATTATACTCATTCTGATTGGCCTCCCGATCTAAGGCACAATATCAATCTTCACTAGGCAGCCCACACATAATGTGGCTGAGCAATTGTCTTCATGCAAAATGAGACAGGCTCAGACATTTTGGGGCCAAATATTACCCTTTTCCACAAATTTATGTCCAGTGTCTATAGAGATTACTGATGCTGGCTATTTTTTTCTCCCTACGAAAATTTAGTCAGTTACTTTGGAAAATCCGGAATGAGGAAAATGAGCGTAAAAGCATGAAGATCTAATCCATCTTCGTGTCTGGAGGGAGACCTTTTATACTGCATAGAATGGCTACATGTTGTATGGGTCATGAGAGTCAATCTTCAGCTTCTCAGTAATAAATACAAATCGGTTACAGAACGGGAAAGCTGTACGCCGGGGCACCCACCAACGTCCTCTATGAAGTCTGGGGGATCACGACCTGCAAAGGCCGGTTTGTGCCGTGAGTCAAGAGCACGTCACTGGCGCTTTCCAGGCGGTGCCACGGTGAACGCGCCCAGCTTTATCATATCAGCTCTACTAAAGTTCGTTAAAGTGTACCGAGAGGTAGACAAGAGACACACACATAGCGAACAGGTGCTCGGGTCAGGTGTTGGTCACATGGTCACACAAGCATGGTTAAAAACCCGCCGTACCTTCTGCATCTCGGGCAGGGAGCCGCGGACGGAGGAATACTCGTGCACCAGCGAGCGCATATGGCTGTGCACCCTGACGGCCGTGCTGTGCACGCGGGACCAGCGGCCCTTCTCCAGCCGATGGAAGACCTTGCCCAGCTCGGCGCTGACAGCGAATGCCCGCCGGAGCAGCATCTGCAGGCCGTCGCGCGCTGCCCGCTCCCCACCCACGATGAGCTCGCCTGCCCCCGCCTCCTCCTCCACGCTGATGGGCTTGGACTGCAGGATACACATGCACTCCACCTCGGTCATGTGACGGAGGTCCTCCATCCAGCGCTGCACCGAGTCCACCTGCAGGGTGTGGAGCCTACCAAAAGCAGAGGGGGGGGGGGGGTCACTCACTCACCCAGGTCAGGTGGGTAATCAGCCCCAAGAACTGTAATATTTCCATCCATCCATACTTCCATATTCTCACCCAGGACTCCTCAAATCTGGCCCTTGATTCCAAATCCAGGCCTCGTTTTCAGTTCTCCCATGTGGTTAGTTTAATAATTACTGGTTCTGATTGGCTAGAGGCTTCACACCTGGCTCACAGGTAAAGGAAGGCTGGAAAATCAGCGACTTTGAGGACCGTGATTTGAATAACCCTGTTCTAACCACTTATCCTGGTGAGGGTGGTTGTGGGTGAGGCGATTATGCCAGGTAGTACAGGGCACAAAGCTGGTGTTCACCCTGGGCAGGAGGCCAGTCCATCGCAGGGCATGTTTTACACACCGCAGGCAATTTTAGAGAAGGCAGTTAACCCAACAGCTTTTCTTTGGACGGTGAGAGGAAACCCAGAGAACAGAGGGGAAGGCCTCACATGCCGGGCAGTTTGGGTTCAGATCCCCGGCCCGGGTGCGAGGCAGTGGGGCTATCCGCCGAGACGCTGTAATTAGTCATCATTCCAGCCAAAAAAAAATCAAGTTGCACTGGCTCCTAGACAAAAGTATGATAAGGAGGGAAAAAAAAAAAACAATTTAGAAAAAATAAATGCTCCCGGGCAGCAGAAGGTCACCCTCCTTAAATGCAATTCCAGCTGGAACCGGGGCAGACAGGAAATTATCAATGAAATTAATCTCCTGGTCTCCAGCATATAGTCATGTTATTACGGGGTTCTAGGTGCTGTGTGCTGAAGGTGAGCACTCTCATAAACCCTCATCAGGCCATTAAGCCGCTCCCAAATCCGGCTTCCGCAGGTATCCGTCACCCCCCCCCCCCGATGAAGGCCACCCGATGACGCAGTAACGGTCCTTCCGAAGAGAACCTTGGCTGAACTTGGTCAAAGGTTGACCTAAAAAAATGATCGATAGTGCAATATGCTATGGAAACGGCACCCCTCCCCCCCCCCAATCTGTCATTTCGCAGCTGAGGAGCAGGTACACTAATAAGAGTGTAAGAGCAAGCAAACAGCCCCTCCCTGGGTATAATGACCCAGGGATTTAACAGGGATTCCCGTTGCTTTGGGAGATCAGCGAAATGGGAAATTAACACACCTTTTGCAGACGGGGGCAAAAATCTAAGGTTAGCAAAAGAGCCCTGTGCGGCCATGACAGTGTGTGACACACCCTGCATCCTGTGATGGGGGGGCAGCTCAGCTGCAGAGGCTGTGTGCCGCTCCACATATCCGAAGCATTCATAACAAACGCTCCTTTGTTTATTTACCCCTTCGCATCCCTGCTAAGCAGATGTTTTAACTCACTCATTAGCAGCTTCGATGGCGTGCAGACACTGTGACAGGCCACCCCGAGCCGTTTTTGGTTCTGGCAACTGTTAGGATTGTTATTTTTTTAATGAGGCAGAAATGAAGCCTATTATTTACGCTCATGTACACAGGCGGCATATGGTCCCTCCTAACACTCCAAGATGGAGGGCTTTGTTTCCATTGGGCCAGACTACTTATATCCCACCAGCTGCACCTCTGCTCTGTGTGTGTGTGTGTGTGTGTGTGTGTGTGTGTGTATGTGTGTGTGTGTGTGTGTGTGTTCGTTCGCATAGGTCACACTTGGGGACCAAAACGTCCCCAAAGTGTGGTAAAACCTCAGACTTACTTACTTTTGGGGACATTTTTCAGATACCCGTTCGGATAACCTTAATTTTATAAAAATCTGGGATTGCAAAAAAAATAAAATAAAAAATGCCAAAAGTCTTGTATTTTGTTTCATTACTTATGGTTAATGTTAGGGCCGGGTGGGGGTCAAGAGTGTTGTGATTGGGATTAGAATTTTTCCCATAGAAATGAATGGAAAGCCCCCATTTACATAGGTACGCCAACATACAACAGCAGGCGTCTCTGCACCCCACCCACAGTGGGCACTCTCTGTATGCCAACTGACGACATGTCCTGCATTCTTCGCAAAGTTGTCCAAGGTCACGGGTTCAAATATGTTTCCCATGCTGCACACGCCTACAGAAGCCCCGGCTGGGGGAATATCCAGGGGCGGGGGGGGCAGGCAGTACCGCGTCTAACAGCGCTCAACTGTCCCACATTAATCACCAGGGCTGCCCAAAAAGGTCACAGCTGCCATTACGCATGCATGAGAAAATGCGCTTTGATACAACAATCAAACATACTCTAGCACCATTTATCAGATAAAACCTTTTTAAGGAAATTAGATTCGAGAGGCACAGATTATCCATAGTTAGCATTCAAAGCCTTTCATTTCACCAGTTCAGGATAAACCCCCCACCGCCCCACTCAGTCTCCACATTTAGAAAACCCATAGCCATGCCTGAAATATTCCAAACGGTTCCTTACACGCAAGGTCGTGGCATTCAGCTGATGAAGCACTTTCAGGCATGACAATCACAGTCCTGAATAAGCCTCTGCATGGGACAGGGGGCGTGTAAGCACAGTCCTCTAGTACCCCTATGGGGTCCATGGGAAGTTTAAGGAGTGCTAAAGTGAGACTCACTCTACCCACCGTGTCACTCTAAGGTACTTGCTGCATAAAAACAGGCCAACGGCAGGTGTCTGTGACACACATGAAATCAAACATCAATGGTTACATTCACAAATCCTTAATTTTACCAATAAGGGCAACATGCTTAGCAAAGGACTTTTTGTGGTTTATACAACAGTTAAACATCAAATGAACATCAGTTAAGTCTAATGTTGTTGATTTGGGTTATCATGCCCAAGATCTGAGCTGCAGATTTGCTAAAATTTACACAATTCATCAGAAAGGAATTTGACTTTAATGCAGAATCTCTCTGTGTATCCTCTTATCCAGAGCAGCACGGAAAGCCTGTGGTCTGCCCCAGTTAGCACCGGGCAGGAGATGCTGCAGAGGTCAAACGTACCACCTTTTAAGAATGAACTTCCATCCATCCATTATCTATACCGCTTAATCCATCTGGGTCGCGGTTTAAGAATGAACTTAATGTTGTTAACTCATTTTTAAATGTGTCAAGCTAAAGATCAATGTGGATATTGAGAGTCTGTACATGTACTGTATTTTCTGTACCTCCTCGGTGTCACGGAAAGCAATTACTGTGCAAGCAGTAAACAGCAGGGTCTGCCGGCAACACCATGAGAAGCCATGTGGGTTCAGCCCGGCTCAGCGGTGCGAAAACAAGCACCGGCCCCCGGGAGAGCAACCATCACGCACGGGGCATGATGCAGGGAGGCCTCAGCAAGAAGAAAGGTGTGCGGAACTGAAAGGAGGAGATCAACCAAAGGGGCGCGAGGCCTTTGTCACAGCTGTGGCGGAAACGGAATCCTACAGACAGAAGATGACACTTTAAAGTATATAGCTGAGCAATTACTGAGGTGTGTATTCCGCAGCGTTTGTCAGAGTGGCACTCTGAAGAGTTTTATGCTTTATTAACCGAACAGAACTTTACAGGACCATCTAGGCACTCTGCTTTTCCATCATGGCCCAAAGACATGCAGGTTCGGCAGACCGCTGCCTCTGAATCGCTATCTGTGCGTGTCCTGTGATGAACCAGCATCCTGCCCTGTGTGTCAATCGTACCTCCAGCAGGGAGCCACCCTATTCATTGTGTGACATTGATTACATAAACCTAACAATGGCAGACCGTCCAAAAACTGGATGAATCATGCATCCTAAAGCGGTACGTTACATAAAGATGCCGTATCCATGATTTGGCTCCCATTTCTGTTACTGGCATTAATAGTGACAGAACGCAGAGTCCCATTCGGTGTTGATTCATCGACGCATGCTGACTCTGAGGAGCAGGCCCCGGAAGCCATGAGAAAGTTTTAGCCATGATTGCAGTCTTCATAAAGAGCTGCTTTGCACCATTGTGGAAAAGTGCCCCCCCCTCCATCGGCGATGATCTATGACCCACAACTGTGAAGAGGGGGTGCTAATATTGACTAGAAATGCAGTGAAATTATTCCACTAAGAGACACAAATGACTCACTTAAAGCCAAAATTTATTTAACAATTTAAAAATGGTACGGTTTTGCAAGATTGCAACAGAGAAGCCAGAGGCACACAAAAGGAAGGAGTAAATGATTTAAAAAAAATAACAACTAACTGGATCCGGAAGGCAGAGAGAGGTATGCAGGAGACATGGTGAGAGAGGAAAGCACAGCAGAGTGACGCAGAGAGGATGAGGGAGAAAGAGAGAGAGAGAGAAGGAGAGAGAAAGAGGGTGACAGACAGAGACAAAGAGACAGACAGAGGTAAACAGGCAGATAGAGACAGAGAGGTTCCTCAGGCAACAGCAGGGGTTAAAACCCAGTGTGGCATCAAAACACAGCCAGCCCTGATGCTCCGCTTTCAAAGGAGGGCGGAACCTTAAAATTACCCTTATATCCGTCTAATCGGTGTACAATTAAAGAACCCCTCCCAAAAAATAAAAATTCCCATCAGAGGTAATTAAAGGTATCCAGTCCCCCCCTAGAACACATTGCTACTGATGTCTGAATTGCGGCACAGAACAGAAAAGTATATATTACCAAAATCTGTAAAAGATTATTATTCCCTCCAAAATCTGAATCAATCTATCCATCCATCCTTTTTCTATACCCAATTGTCCCATGGAGGGTCACGGTGCTCTGGAGCCTATCCTGGGCGCTATGGTTACAAGGCAGGGAATAACCCAGGACGGGGTGCCAACCCATCACAAGGTGGGCACACACACTCACTCAGACACCTATGGTAACTCCACTTCCCCTTAGCATGGTTTTGGTTCCCACGACAAGAGGGAGAGAGAACGCACATGCAGCTGCATCGCAGTCATGCTAGCCGCTGTGCAAATGAAGGTACCCCAAAAGGAAGATGCGTCAATACTGAATATAAAATGCAAACAAGCACAGAACAGGCAGGGCATGTGGCAGAGGTGTGAATGTTTTGGAAAAACTCATGCGATTCACCCATAAATTAGTGTCCCTCACAGTCAATAAGAAAACATAATCCACACCCATCAGGCATGCAATAAAATGTCAGGCATTCTGGGAATTCATCTGCAGCTGATGGTAATCAGTGACAGTAACAGGAATCACCAAACAGCGGGTCTTTGTGGAGAGGGGAGGATAGATGAAGCAGAAAAAAAAGAGGGAAAAGTGTGTGTTTCATGCGCCACATTCCCCCTGTACAACCCAACCTCACAGGAAAGTGATTTCACCCCCCCAGCACGAAAGGGGCATCCAGAATACAATGGGGAGGCCCAGGGCTCGCGACCCAAAATTAGCCCACAGGACTATCAAACGGAGCTTTTTATGTATAAGCAAACTGATTCATTACACCGTGCGCTGCGGTGAGCAGGGCTCCTGCAGTTTTTACATTTTTGTTTGGTCAGGCTGTCACTATTATTTGATTTTGGGCCAAAGCATCCATTTAATTTCCTCTAAACAAGCACAGACGATACAGGGACCAACGTGAAAAATTGATTTTTAGAGTACATTTTATTTAGCAGGAGAAAGAATCCAACAGCAGGCTTCACCAGAGCTCAGCTGCGTCGCATCAACTCAGTCAGACTGTTTAAGATGGGCCCCGGGCCACGGGCGCTGGTGCTGGCTACGGGCACTGGCTACGGGCACTGGCTACAGGCACTGGCTACGGGCACTGCACGTCCACCAGGGGGGCACTGCGCACAGTGTTCGGAAAGTTTCCCCCAGCCTGTGATACACTTGGGTGGAGTCTGAGCAGCGATCAGTGAATGGGAGACGATCGCGCCCATTTAGCCTCTGCGGAATCCGAGGCAATTCAAACATCACGTGCCATAAATAGAAGACCGAATAGTGCCATGCACAGCCCTCGTTAGCGTGTTATATGTACAGGGTGCACTATCATTACTGTGGTGAAAACAAACACACATTTCCTGCTCGAGTCACTCTCACAGGCCTCTACTTTCCTAATTCATCTGAGGGACGAAGTTAAGGATTCAGTTTAAAAATAGAACTCTGGTCAAAAAAAAAAAAAACTAAATAAGGCAGAGAGCCCCATCAAAGCCCATCAGGAGGGGGCAGCATCTGACTTCCAGATGTATCCTTAATCTCCCCAAACTGCCAGGTCAGCCTCCACCCCCCCCCCCCCTTCCCTCACCCACCCACAATCCACCCCCGCTACCTCAGGAACTAACGGAGCGACTCTGCTTCTCCTGCATGAACGGTCACAAACGCGAAGGACTTTATGCGCCGGAGATGGAGACGAGCTCATTCCGACACGCCTCGAGCGACTCATCCGAGGCAGATCCGAGTCTGTGAGAAGCACGGAGACATGAGAGAGGGGCGTCTCGTCCTCGGAAGTCCTATTAAATTTGTGGCCATGGAGCCTTTCAACCCAACGTCAGATCACATAACAACCCAACAGCACCGTTACTGTGTCTCATCGCAAAGGAGAACGCGCCTGTTTCATTTTGCCTTTGTAGATGGAGAATAGAGGCCGGCACTGCCACGGAAACTACCGGCACCATGCCATCATCATCACCATCATCATCAGGCCCACTGCCAGTAATCGGCATCATCATCAGAGAGGAAGAGCTGTTCATAAATGCACGCTGAGGTGTTTTCTGGCAGGTGGGACGTCATTCCTACTCACCTTTCAGGTGGTGATAAAAGAGACTTAATGTGCCTGCTGTTTGGGGCCAACGCCATCCTCTCCAGCCTTCTGACGCCTCAGCATGGCACCTGTGATAGAGCCACAAACACCCCATCAATGCAATTTACCGCCATCACCATGGTAATGACCAGCAGAGTCCCGGCACGGCTGCTTACAGTGACCGACCAGCTGCTCAGGCCCCAGTAGTAAACCCCCTTCGCCTTATAAGAGGCGCTTAACACACTGCTTCTGCTTGAAAATCCTATTAAAGAAAAGTCATTTTTCCATAAAGCACCCCCAAACACACAAGATAAATGTATAGTTAGCAGTCAAAGTGATCAAATATGTGGAGTGGAAGTGGGGGAGCGGATTTATATAAGCTGCGGGAATACAAAGGAAAAAAAATACTATGAAAGGATTTGTATTTGAATTGGAAGTACAGACATAGGAGACTCCGCAGCACTTTAATTGATTTTATAAAGACCAAGGTCAGAAGAATAAAGCGTCTATACACTCAATCACAAAGGAATGCAGCAGTGCAGCTCACCAGGAAGGTGAGGAGGCTGGAGGGGACCATAATACCAGATATTTCCCTACAGCCTGCCAATACGTCAATATGTTTACCATGACCGCTATTCCCAGTCTGCTACTGGGTCCTAACGCCCACAAGTTTCCTTTCATAGGCCATCGGATGGACCCAAAAAAGTGACATCTTTGTTTAGTGGGGAAAAAAAAGCAAATACACACTAACTTGAAATGTTTTCTTTGTTTGTATAAATGGTCATAACTATCTCCCGGCTTCAAAGAGACAAAGTGTTGCACATGACGGAAAAATTTTTCCTCCATCCCTAAAAGATACCACTATGGCTGCCCAGGCTGTTAATGAAAAGCGATTCTTCCTTAGTTTAAGCCAATTATAAAAAGTGCGCCTGTATTCATTTCAGTAGCATATTGTAAACACATTCTTAACAAACGATGAAACGGACACCATTTCAAAACCCACCAGTACCAAACAACTCTACAGAATCAGAGGAGTTAAACAAAAAGCAAATTAGCCCCGTAACAACTCCTGACAAGCACTCTTGAGATCTATTTTCTTTTTTCCTAGCAACTTAATTATCAATAAAGCTCTCATACAGGGCTGCAGTGAGCCAGCAAAACACTCTCGTATACATTCCTTAGCTGGCAGAGTGCCACTCCATGACGGTACTTCCGTTAGCGGCCTCTAATGATGGATGTCTGGGGTCCTCTGCTCGAGTCCGGGAAGCACAGGGACCCAGACTCATCCAAATCCACGGAGACGCCTGATGTTTTTACTTCAGGAAAATTTACTCAGCATATACTGAGATATATAATGTTTTTGGGGCGTGCAGATCCCAAGCTTGAGAAAACAGAACGTCACGTGATGTTTCGGTAAAGCTATTTATTTTACCCCCCACTCCCGTCGGCGAGTTGAAGAGACCAAACTGTTGCTCCTTACTGGCAGCCCGCTGGTGGGGCTCCGCGAGGCTTCTGTTTCCCAGACGCCATATGCTGAATGCCAGAAACTAAACAGAAGCGCGGCAGAGAATTAGGCCGTCCATCTTTCTGCCGGATAAACACGCCTCTGCTTATTAACTGTAATAAGCGTATTTAATAAGGGTATTTATCCAAAAATACACACCACGTACCATTGTTGATGCTTTGTTAACCAGATGTATATTTATGAAAACAGAATCTGATAAAAAGTGGTAAAGCAGCATTAACCATTCCAGAATTATCCTGAAATTTACAACTGTGAAATAGTCAGTTTTTTCCCTGTTCTTTATATAGAGAAGGCCAGGATGCAGGAAAGGCAGGAGAGGGGAATCTCCGTGGGTCATTTGATGTGATGCTCGTGGCCGTCCCTGTGCAGTGGAATGCCAGCCAGCTAATTCGGCACGAGGCCCCTTACTGCGCCGGGCCCCGGAAAGCGAAGCCAAAGGAATTCCCAACATATCCCTTCTGCGGAGGCATGATCAACACCTCCTGTAAGACTCCTGTCTTCACGAATGGATTGTGCCTGGAAAAAACACACTGTCCCTTTTGTTTCATGGACCTGAGATCTGAGACACAAAGAACTCAGAAAGTGGGGGATGAGATCACCGACCTCTCTCATCGCAGTTTGGAGGAATGTGTGCGTCCAGTCTATACAGACTAATGCTGCTTCGAGGGTGGTGGGCTGATCCGCATCATCAATGCCCACGCCAGGGTAGGAAGGCACTGCACCACCAATACCAAGCCAGAGGGCAACATATTCACCCAGAAACGGCACAAAAGCCAGAACTGGAGAGGAGACGAGAAAAGCACTGCAGTCCATTCTTTCTGGAACACGCCCATGCGTGGTGGAAGCAAGTGAGCGGACCAGACTTCTAAACCAACTGGGAGCAGACGAGGATTTCATACTGAAACGCGCCGCTCTTCCTAGTACTAGCAACAATATTCATCCTGCGTTTTTCACGGTCTCATATCCTACTCAACACCAACTGTCAACAGACAGCCCCCTTTCCGCAACAAATCCATGTGGCTTTGCGCTGGTCTGCGATAAAAATAACGCTGGGAATCAGCTGAGGTGCATAAATTGCAAGTCACGTGATAATAAAGCATTTCACAGAGAAGTGTATATTTAAACAAGTTCATTACCTCCATGGATAAAATCGACAGCATTGAGCCCCAGCTCAGTATTATGAAACAGTACCCATTTAGTTCATTAAAGCACCTCAAGCGAAACAAATTATGGTCTGTTTTTGGGTTTGTTTTTTTTTTTTTTTACATCATGCATGAAATATTTATGATTTTGCAAAAAAAAAAAACCACAAAGTCGTTCATGGCCCAGATGGAACACATGCCAGAGTTTACAAACGTTTTAACTCAGCTGTGCCTTCAGATGACTGGAAGAGAACAAAAGCAAAACCGTAACTTTTATAAACCTCATGTGCAGACAGACAATAAGTCAGACGCTGCAGCCTGTCTGGAGGATGTTTTGGTAATGGGCAGCAGGTGAATCCCCAGTACAGGGAGCTGAAGAGGCCTGAAACACAGCAACCACCATCCCAAACACACCCATCCGCGCATCTGCGCTCCACACACTCTCTGCTCCGTATTACCACAAGTCACTGGAAACTATTTCCAGACAAATTCTGAGACGATCTTTGTATGCGGTCAGAATAACTGCTGAGGGTCCAAGCAGAGCTGAAAATACAAATGCCCCCCCCCCCCAAAAAAAAAAAAGTTTCCAGAAAAACCACTGCCTTGATACTCAGGACTTTACTGAAGAGGCTTGCCAAATGCTATACAAAACAGTACTCAAAGTACAAAAGCAATGTTATGCTGCCGGGAAGTTATGAATTGTACCACTTAACAAATTTTCAGTGGAAAGGGACATTTTTAAAAGCAGGTTTAACTTCCAAAAACGTCTAGAATTTTGAACTTAATTTTGATTTCAATGTCTGTGGTGTGACATCATAATTGCACTCACTGATAAACCCCCAGTCCGCTAGCTGCAGCGCTAACAGAGGGACCCGTCTCTGTCACATGGGAATGTCAACATCATGTGGGAAGGCAGCTGCCGCAGTTTCACTTGGAGAGTGGGGGGTTAGCGAGACCGTGAATACGGGAGCCCATCGTGACCACATCGGGCAGGCTGGCCAATCACGGACCAGTCTCCCCAAAACACCTGACGAGGTCCGGAAGACTGCTGGGACCCAAAGAAGGGCACAGCTGTCACTCTGGGGATTTCAATAAAGACCGATCTATCAGAATATGACCAGAAGTGCCATTCCCCCACAAATCTATCAACATTACATGCTAATAAACAACCTCAAACATCTTATTTCTCAGCTGAACTACAGAAAGAGGCATCCAGTAGCTGGCTAATAATGTACAGAACCACCAAGCCTCAAATTAAAAGGCAGACAGTGACAAACTATTTTTAGCATTTCTTTCCTTTCCACATATGTGTTCAGTGACATGTGGTTCAGCTGAATTCAATACCTGGCCTTTAATTTAGTCTAGGACTATGTCTGGAGTAAACTTCCTGGAAGAAGCTCAGGAGAAGCGAAAGCTGGATGTTCACAGATCCAGATCTGATTTCAGGGAGGTGGGTGAAGAAGAACTGGGGGGGGGGGGGGGGTTGCTGCCTGTGAAATTTGCCAACCAACTCGGGGAGCACTGGCAGTATAATCTGTCAAGGTTCTTGCCATCTCCTCTGCCGAATAGCAGAATAACATGAGGTCGTTTTTAATTCTGCGTGGACAGATTTCTGGGTCACTGCGCATCAGTTGCAGGTGTCACAGACTTGTTGTCCATTTGCAGGAGACTCCGGGAACTTCCAGGAGAGCTGGGACATCGGTGATCAGTGCTTGATAGCGGATGCGCACCAAAGGCACTGCGTTGAGGTACAGCAGCGCAAGAAGTTTGGCCATCAGGATGAGTGCGTTTCCTAAAGTCTCAGTCATGTCAGTCAAAAGAAAATGACGGGTAGAGCAGTCTTTGCCCACACAGCATCGCAAGGACACACAAGGCGACTCGGTAACACTCAGTGAGGGTGTTGTGCATCTCTGCAGGTTAGGAGCCCAGAAGGTTGTCAGTTTGAACACCTAAAACTGCTGTTGGGGAAAATGGTAGGTGTGGTTCTCTGATCCCAAGCTTGCTCTCTCTCATGTGTCTCAGGATGACACCTCGGGGACCAATGCCTTCTGGGTGAAAGAAGCTCGCCTTGATGCAAAGGAGACACCGGTGACCAGCAGGGCGGCGACACTCAAAGCGAGGAGCACACAATGAGGCAGTGCTCCCAGGGCTAATTAACAGATCCTGTCACACGACGAGTCACCATGTGGCTTTTAAAAAGCACTGGAGGTGATGTGCAGAGTGCTGCAGCAACGACTGCAGTGTTTATCAGTCTGGTTCTCGGAGACCCACAGACACTCCACGTTTTCGCTCATGAGCTGGGAGGGACTGTAGGTCCCCACGGACCGGATTCGGAAACACTGCTGAAGCACAGTGGATCCTTCACAGAGACAGTCTGGTGGTGTGCACAGTGCACAATGTCTGTGACCCAGCCGACAAACAC